GCTCGAAGCTGCCACTGAGTCAACACATTGGAAGTCCTCTCTGAAAACCCTGCGGCCTGACTCCTCTCCCTCTCCTGGCAGCCCACCTGCATGGGGCGCCGTCTGTCCGGCACTGCATGGGCCAGGGCCCTTCCCCTCCCCACAGCGGCTCCTCGTGCTCCGTGTGCGGCTCCTCTCCCCGACTCCCACGCTGAAGGGAGTCTTGGCTCTGTCACAACAGTTCCATCCCTGAGACCCCGTCTGATTGGTCCCCAGCCCCCGACACATGCATGTCACCGTCCTCCTGGGCTGCAGGATCCGCAGCAGCTTACCCTCCTCCCAGCGTGACACCCACACCTCCGTCCGCACCTCCGAACACCCTCTCACCTGCTTGCAGAGACCCGTGTACTTCTTGATCGTTGTCCATATCTTTCCCCAAAAAGATTCCTCAATGCTTTTCTTTTCACAAGGGAAAAAAAAAGGAAAAAAAAAACAATGCCAACAGCCCAGCGTCCGTGAGCAACCCAACAGTAACAAAGCATGTGTTCGGGATGGAGGAAGGTAAGGCCACGCGTTTCCATTTGCCGCTTGCTGCTAGGGCTGGGCGGCCGGGATGACTCGAGGGGGCGGGGGGAGGGCGTGTGTGCACCCCTCCTCCACTCCCACACACGCTCACTGCTCTGTGTTGGGGGTTAAAGGCAGCATGTAGGAAAGAGGCCAGGACCGGCCAAACCCAGCCAGACCCTGGTTCTTTCACTAACAGTTCACGCTGAAAAAACCCTCTCCCCTTACCACATCACTCATTCACTCATTCACCCCAGAAATGCCTGCTGCACACCAGCTATTTTCTAGGCCCGGTGGTTGGCACAAGGAATACAGAGATAAGGCACAGCACAGGCCCCGGGGGCTCGCCACCTGGATGGGGACACACCTGAGCAGATTGCGCAGTGCAGCGCGGCCTGGCCAGCTGTGCCAGGGCAGCAGGACGGGCTCACAGGGCAGTGGACACTGTGCTCAGCTTTGGAGGATGAGCGAGCGGGTGGTCTGGGGGCTGAGGGAGCCTGGAGAGCTCTAAGAACTTCTCAAGTTCATTCCTTCATTTCCTCAATTTAGTACCATTAGTGAGGTGAGGTCTGGGGCAGGCCATGGAAGGCCATCTATAGTGCTGCGGAGTTTAGGCCTTATCCTGGGCACCGTTAGGGGTCGAAGGTTTCTAAGCAGAGGAAGAGCAAGATGAGGTTTGTGCTGTAGACAGACCACTGGCTTTGGTGTGCTGGCGGGTTGGAGAGGGGGGTCTAGAGGTCAGGAGGTCAAAGGGGAAAGTACCCAGGTGGGAAGTGCAGGCCTCACCAGGCACTGGCAGTGGGGATGGAGAGGAGGGCGAGGGAGAAGCCTGCCCGCTCCCATCGTGCCCAGGCCTAACTGGCGAAGAGACCACCTGAGCCAGGCAGCTCAGGCTACACCTGGGCTCCAGGAGCACTGCCCCTGCACTGTCACACGGCGGGACGAGGTGCGTCTGCTGGGACTCGCGGGGTGGGGTCCCCGAGGCTGCAGGTGGGGGTGCTGTGGGCCTGTGCCAACGGGCCGTGGGGGTGCCGCGCTTGGGCCCGGGCTCCGGCTCCTCAGCTTCCTTGGCAGTGCAGAGGTGTCAGCACTTCGCATCGAGAGCGTGGGGCCTGTCCCCCAGCTCTGGAAAGGGGCCCGCCTTCCCCGTCCTTGTGGCCTTTCCTGCTCCTTCATCTGGGGCTTTCTTCCTTGGGCCTGGTGTCCAGACCCTAAGGAAGCCCCTGCTTTTCTTGCTACTGACTGCCGGCGCTCTCTCCTGCCCTCCTGGCCCTGCTGTCAGCGCCCCCTAGTGCCGGGATGGCTGTGCATGAGGGCAAGGGCCTCTGGAATCCAATGGGGGCCTCAGAGATCTCTCCCAAGCTCCTCCGCTTGCTTGTGGGAAAGCAGGGGATGGAGTGCGCTTTCTTGGAGTCCAAAGCTTCCATATAGAAGCCCCAGGGTCTATTCTCTGCTTTCCCGTCCTCACCCTCTCTTGGCACAATGACCTGTACTCCCCAATTAGGGTGAGACCGAAGAAGGAGCAAGGAAGAAGAGAGCCCACAGAGTAACCATGTTTTCCGTCCAGGTCTGGATAGCTCTTACTCATCCCAGGAGTGGGCCCTCCAGGGCAGCCAGTGTCTCTTGGAGATCAGGGACCAGCGTCAGGCCCACTGCCTGTACCCACACTCCCCTCCTCTCGCCGTCTGCTGAGAGGGTCTGGTGTCCGGCCACACCCTTCCAGATGTGGCTGGTGCAACCTGAAGGCCCCTCACACCTGGGCCCAGGTGCCTGCTCTGAAGGAGGGAACACAGACTCCCCCACCCCACCCTGCGGCGGCTGCTACTGAGCAGCCTCGGTGCTTTCGGGGTAGCCTGCAGCGAGTGGGGATCAGTGGTTAGTTCCTGGATGGCTGGTAATGGCCAGCCCAGGAGTAAAGGCCATGACCCATTCCTAACCAAAGCCAGCTGTGCTGCATGTGTGTGGCGGCGGGGGGCTGGGAGCGGGCGCAGGCGGAGATAAAGGTCTCACGCCCGCCGGGACAAGTGGGACAGTCGAACATACCTCGCTGTTTCAAATGACTGTGTTGCAGTCCTGAGCTCCCGAGGCTCCCTCAGTCCAAGACAGGTGTCCCTTGGAGAAGGAAAGGTCACAGGTCATACATCTCTCAGAGTCCAACCAGGGACGTGTGTGACCACATCTCAGAGCCCACTGAGGGACTGGAAGGGGATAGGAACTGGCCACTTTCAAAAAGCCACCCAGCAACTCCTCTTTCCTCGCACTCAGCACCCAAGGAAGTCTGTTCACAGCCCACGACCCCGGTTCCGGTCTTGGGTCAGGAGATGGTTGGGCAGTAAGGTGCCCACTGCTGATGAAGTGGGATAAGCTGCAAGATGGCAGCATGACTGTGCCAGGCGGGGCGGGAAGAGGAGGGGGCGGAGCCACCCTGCCTGCCTCCCAGGTTGACTCCGAGCATGGACATTGGGGGCAGGGAGACTCAGGAGACCTGGGGCTAAAAAGAAGAAAGAAATCCTTTCTCCACTGGACCAGGCCCCTCTCAAACCAGGCATTCCCTCCTGCCAAAGACGAACCAGGGCCTGGCCAGCAGGCAGATTGCGTGGGCGAGAATGAATGAGCAAGTGAGTGGCTGAGCCAGGGTGGGAGCTCTGGGCAGGGGAGGAGAGGTAGGGACAGACCAGGCCGGGAAGCCGCAGTCCTCCTGTCCTGGCTTCTCCCCTCCTGCCTGACCTGTAGATCCAGGACAGGAGCCAGTCTTGGAGTCAGGGGAGCATGCAGGCTGTGCATGAGTGTGTGTGCCGGCGTGGGCACACGTCCGCGGTGTGGTCCAGACCGATCGTCAGGGTGGTCATACTTCTGGCCTAATGGGGTCCCACAAGAGAACAACCGGAACCCACCAGCCAAGGGAGCTGAGCCTCCCTCCTCCGCGGAGCCTCCCTGTGACCTGAGCTGCCACCTGTCCATCTGGGGAGCATGCGGGGATCCCCTGCAGAAGGATGGAAATGGACCCAGCTGGGCGCCTCCAAACAAGCAGCCCAGCCCAGAGTGAGCCCGACCCCATCCCCAGATCGCACTGACCGGGCCTGGCCCTCTCCTTGTCTTGCAGAACTTCAGCGAGAGGGAAGCATCGAGACTCTGAGTAACAGCTCAGGTTCTACCAGCGGCAGCATCCCAAGAAACTTTGATGGCTACCGATCTCCGCTGCCCACCAATGAGAGCCAGCCCCTCAGCCTCTTCCCCACCAGCTTCTCCTAGGTACCAGCTACCTGCTTCCGACTGGCCGGCCCACTCACCTGCTGGAGGAAGGAGAAGCCCCCCCTCGGACTCTCCCCTTCAGTCTCTGCTCCTCTTTCACAACCACCTTCCCCAAGCTTAGTGACAACAGCCCCCTCCCCGCCCCCCGCCCGATGGAGAAGAGACCCCTATCCAAAGCACCTCGGTGCCCTCTGACCCCGTCAGCAGGGCTGTGGCCGAAAGAGACTGCAGAAGCGCCGCCCCCTCCTGTTTGCACATGATGTCCGGCATTGGATCCGCTTTTGTATTTTCTAACCGGGGGGCCAGGGGAAGGGGCCTGGGTGGGGAGAAGATGGACGGCCTGGTCAGGCATTTCGACCCTGACCGCCAGCCCCAGCCCGCTCCTGGCTATGGCTCACACTGCCCAGCTTCCCTTGGTCAACTTCCCTCTGGAATGGGGTGAATGGAGGCCCAGAGTATTATGGGAGGAGAAAGGAAGGAGAAGCCCTCCTCCTCTTCCCTTTGGCTCATGGGAAGGATTTGTCTTTCTTGTCTATAAGCCCTTTTACACTGGTCCTGAACTGTTCGGTGAAGGAAACGGTGGTTCCTGAGACCCTGTCAAAAGTGCACGTCTTTCCAATAAATCATGCTGCAACTGGTGTCCACCGAGCTGCTGGGGGCAGGGTCCTCGCCAAGCGCCGAGCGGAGTCCCGGGCCTGACCCTGTGTCCCTGCTCCCAACACCCCTGGCCTAACATGTGCAACTGAGGGGGAGTCATCGAGGGAATAGGGAGGAGAATGTTGGCCTTGGAATTTGGGTGGGGCCTGATTTAAATCCATTCTCCAACCTTCCTTTCTGTTAGCAGAGCCAGTGAGTTCTGGGGCCATCAAAGGCCTGACACTCCCTGTCTGTGGCAGGAGCAGGGGGAGCAAAAGGGGTGCTGAGCAGAAAGGATAATACTAGCCCTAGTCCCCACTTCGCTAGACCCCAGAGAGGCCTGGGAGGATCGAAGGAAACCTAATGAGCAGGTGTGGTTTGGGGTGAAGTTTAACGTAATAGCCACGATCAGGCCTTCCCATCCAACTCCTGGAGCCCCTGCCCCCTTCACAGGCGCCCTGTCCAACCCTAGCACCCAAGAAGAGATCAGTTGGGCATGTTAGGAGAAGGGGGACCGGAATCACACTAGGTTCTGGAAGCTGAGTACTTGGCCCTACACAGATAGGGTGGCTGGAGCCAGTCCCTTCTGCCTGGGAACCTGCAGGGTGAGAAATCACATGGCAGAGGGAAGCAAGCAGGCGGGTCAGGAGGCCTGGACACAGCCAGCGGGGGCTGCCGGAGGGGCAGCAGCTTTTCCCCATTTGAGACATTGATGTGTCGGGCACAGCCTCCACCCAGAGCCAGAGCAGTGTTTCAGTTAAAAGGGGGTGAGGGGAGGGCTGCCATGAGGCTACCTGTGCATTCTATCCCTGGGCCCTGGGGGGAGGGGGAG